CACAAATCTCGGGCTTCCCACTGCTATCCTCTGCCTCCCAGGTTCAAGTTCATTCTCCTGCCTTGAGCCTTCCAGAAGTAGCTGGGATAGGGTACGATCTCCTGACCTCGTGATCTGCCAGCCTCGGCCTCCCAAAGTGCTGGGATTACAGGTGTGAGCCACCGCACCCGGCCAATACTTTTACATTTTTAAAGAGGCTTCAGTGTGAGGCAGAATGAGCCCAAACCAATACGTAATCTGTGTATATACTACAAGAGATTGGGTCATTTCTTAGGGGAGAGGAATGATTTGTAGTACAAATCAGACTAATAATTTGGGGGTGGGTATATGCTTCTATATATATGTATTAGACACACATATCTTTTATATAGAATAAAAAACAATCACTTCAGCCATAGTACCACTAGAAGCCCCACCCTGAGTTCACTATAACCCATAGGCTTCATGCTGGAAGTGATTTAACCCATTTGGTCTACATTCTCATCTACAGACCCAACCTATAGATTGGCCCTCCAGTGTTCTGAAGATTGGGGGTTATAACAAAGAAGCACCTTTTCAGTGACATTTAACTTACAGGTCTATGAATTTTGTTGTTGGCAGGTGTCAGCAGGAGTAGAAAAGAAAGGAAAGGCTCTATTAATAAGTCCTCGGAGACAAGGGTGGGAGGAAGCAAGGGAAGAGGTGATAACATAGGAGCAAGTGGTCATGACAAGGAAATGACACAAGACATATCAAGGCAAGTCTAACAGGTTGACTTAAAGTTTTGATCTCTAGGTTGGGCACGGTGGCTCATGCCTGTAATCCCAGCACTTTGGGAGGCCAAGGAGGGTGGATCATGAGGTCAGAAGTACAAGACCAGCCTGACCAACATGATGAAACCCTGTATCTACTAAAGATACAAAAATTAGCTGGCCGTGGTGGCACACACCTGTAATCCCAGCTACTCAGGAGGCTGAGGCAGAAGAATAGCTTGAACCTGGGAGACAGAGGTTGCAGTGAGCAGAGATCATGCCACTGTACTCCAGCCTGGGCGACAGAGCAAGTCTCCGTTTCGAGAAAAAAAATTACTGACCTCTGAGATGGCTGATCATACTTGTAGATAAGATTCTGCCTTAAACCAGAACTGAATCAGAGGCTGACAGAGTTATCACCATATTAGATCGGACTGAGTATTACTGTATAATACCCTTGCTAGTTACAAGGGGGCCAAAGTCCAATGGCCTGACAGTAATATAATATAATATGTAATGACTGCCAGTAGCAGTGATAATGAAGTCTGATAGATGGGGCTGGGTTTGAATCCTGGCTCCATTATTTCCTCAGTTTCATCAGCTTATAAAGAAGATAATATCTTCCCTGCTCCGCAGGGTACATTGGGGCAATTGAGTTACCATTGTGCTCAGATGGGGTGTTACAAACAAGATTCCTCAGTTCCAGCCCACAGTTCTATCCCTCCACAGGGCAAACATCACCGCTCACCTGCCTTCTTCCTCATGTAAGATGTTCTGTTGTGTATGATGCAAGAGGTAGTACGCCAAGCCAACAGCCCACACCATACAAAAGAGTATGTGTATTGCAGAGATACTTCTCCAAATAACATTACCTAAAAATAGACATCCTGATGTTGTTAATCGTGGAACCACAGCCCACAGAAAAAATATGATCTTTTTGTATGTTTTGCCATAGTCTGCTTTCAAAAAAGACATTCAGACCCCCTCACCCCCTTTGCCCTTTTTTTTTTCTAGGACAACACAGAGGTCATAGCACTAATTATAAACTTCAGTGGCCATTTCTTGTTTGCGTTGCTCAGCAGCTCCCCTTCCTAAGACGATTACCCTTATTTTCTTTGGGGATCCACCATGTCCACACTCCCAGTCCATGTTTCCTAGCAAACTGGACTTTGGCTAGGTCAATCAATGCATGTTATCTCCTCAGCCACAGTGATTTGGATCAGCACAAACGGACAAGCAATCAGAGCCAGCAACTGCATTCTGAGACTTTGGTAGAGTGAAGACACACAGTCCATATTCCACTGGACGTGGTATCGTGAAGATGTGAACAGGGGCTGCAGGGCCACTGTGTGGAGCCCAAGAGTGAAATTAGCATGACAGACGGTGGAACTGAGGGGTGGAGAGAAGTTAAAAGTTCCGAGGCCACCAGCCTAAAGCCAGCACCACCCCTCACCTTTTTCAGTAAACTGGACCAATGCCTTTTCTTCTTAGCTCATAGCACATTTGAGTTCTTTTTCTAGCTTGTATCTAAAGAGGCCCTAACTGATCTACCTTAAAGATGCAGATGGAATTCTAGCTCCGTACATCTCCATACAGGGAGCCCAGGCATCTAGGGAATTAGAATTTTCCCCACCAAGGTGAGACTCATTAGTCTTTATTCTAAGGCCCCCGAGAACATTTGAGTCCCACTAGGAGAAACGATTTTAAAGAAAGTGAAGAAGAATCTGTCCTGTCACTTCGGTAAAACAGAAGACGCTGTTTTATAGCAGATTCATACATTACTTTTTTCAGATAATTTAAAGCCTTGTATGAAAATACATTTTATCTTAAAAGGCAGATATGAGATCCCTGACTATGCCCTAATTTATAAGTGGATCCCCCAAAATGAAATGAATATTTTTAAAAATCCACAGATATATCACTTTTTTCAGGTCGCTGGAAGAAACAGTGCAACTAAGAAAATCCAGATTTGATCAGTCAATACTTTTACATTTTTTTTTTTTCTGAGATGGAGTCTCGCTCTGTCGCCCAGGCTGGAGTGCAGTGGTGTGATCTCGGCTCACTGCAAGCTCCGCCTCCCGGGTTTACGCCATTCTCCTGCCTCAGCCTCACTAGTAGCTGGGACTACAGGCACCCGCCACCACGCCCGGCTAATTTTTTGTATTTTTAGTAGAAAATGTCCTTCTGACGTTTTCCTGAAGATGGGTAAGGATGATTAGAATTAGCCCCTCTTATTATCAGAAACGAGAAGAAAGGTCTAGAGAGCCCCGTTTTACTTCTGGGAGTTGGGCAGATAGACCCTCGTTATTATGAGGAAATCTGATTTGCTGTCTCTCCATTTAGAATGCAAGGTTTATACCTGTGACTTGAGGGTTAAGTCCAACAAGCAGGGTCAGTACTGCAGGGATTGTGTACACCACCTGTTAGCAAAAAAGGGAGGAAATTAAGTGAGTGAAGATGTATGCCCAATATATGAGATGTTCAGAGGTATGTAGGAAGTAAAGAAAGATGAGATCAGTAGCTGTTGTTCTCCATGATTTGCCTCTAGGTTTCAGTGGAGATTGACAAAGTGGTAGACTCTGCTTTTGTGGCACTTACCATGTCTGCCTGCAATTTTATCTACCTTACTCCTAGACTATAGGCTATTCCAGAAGCTCATTTACCTTCGAGCTCTAGCACTGAGCATAGGGTTTGGATCTTAAGAGACACTAACTTTCCAGTCTCTCCCAAGCAACTTTCATGCCCAAATGGCCTTTCCCCACTTGCATAAAAGAAAATGTTCTTTGAAAAGTAGGGCAGGAGCAGCCACGATGCTAGATGGCCCTGCTGGTTTGGACCCAATGGACCATCCAGGCCAGTGCTGCATCTCTTTGAGACCACAGAAAGTTTTCTAATAATGCATCCACAATCAACTGTGCCCAGTAATAAGGTCAGGGTCTTCATTTTGGAAACTGCTGGTAAGTTGTTTGGAAATGAGAAGTCTGGCCCTAAGGAGGCCCCATTGCTAAGCCTCGTTCATAGCAAGCAAGCTCTAGCCAAACTTACTATTGGGTGTACATGTGTTGTTGGCGGGGAGCAAGTAGGATGGGTGGGTTTCTAAGAAGGATGGGGACTTTCTGAGCAATGTAGCCGTTTAATCACATCAATTTCTGTGCTTATGTCAGAAGAAGACGTTAAGGCAGGTGCCAGGGGTCCATGCGGGAGGCAGTGGCGGGCTGAACTGTGAATGAGGGAGGATGTCTATGGGGACGTGGAGTCTATTCTTCCTATTATATCATCTGAGCATGAGTGAAAGGTAAAATGTGCAGGTGCTATGTAGATAAGCAATTAGACCTAGATTGTTTAATTATTTTATTTATTTATTTTTTTGAGACAGAGTTTCGCTCTTGTTGCCCGGGCTGGAGTGCAATGGCGCGATCTCGGCTCATGGCAACCTCTGCCTCCCGGGTTCAAGCAATTCTCCTGCCTCAGCCTCCTGAGTGGCCTGGATTACAGGCATGTGCCACCACCCCCGCCTAATTTTGTATTTTTTTAAGTAGAGTCGGGGTTTCTCCATGTTGGTCAGGCTGGTCTCGAACTCCCGACCTCAGGTGATCCATCCACCTCAGCCTACCAAAGTGCTGGGATTACAGGCATGAGCCACCGTGCCCGGCCTAATTAATTTTTTAGAGATGAGGGTCTCGCTATGTTGCACAGGCTGGCCTCGAGCTCCTGGGCTCGAGCGATCCTCCTGCCTCAGCCTCCTGAGTAACTGGGACTACAGGTGCATGCCACCATGCCCGGCTCAAATTTATTTTGTGTTTCAAGGGGCTCTCCAAGGCAGTGGTAAGGAACAGAGGGATGTTAAAGATGACTGAGATTCTAAACAAAGACGACTCAGAGAATGATTCTGCTGATAACAGAAATGGGTGAGTCAGGAGGAGTAGATTTTGGAGGGAAAGATGCTAGGTAGGTCCTTGGGCATATCTGAGGAGCAGTGTGACATGCAGGTGAATATACACAGCAGTCTTTTGGAAATTCACCATGCAGCTGGATGCCTGAGACTTGTCTTCAGGGAAATAATATTTGGAATTCAAGATATGGACCAGGGTGCCAAAGCAAAGGCAGTTTGATTTGATTCAGAGGCATAGTGATCTGGATAGTAAATATCAGAATGTGGTTTTACTGCACTAAAAAGACAAAACCTAGATAGAATTTTGTGTTATAATTCCAAATACCATCATCCTTGTTGCTCCTCTGTCAGTATTATTCTAACGTCTAAGAATCATCCCCTTGGTGATACTGTACAGTCTTGTGTATCTATATTGAGAGAAACTGGGCAAAATTCAGATATTTTAGAAGATAAAAGATAGAACCGGGCACGGTGGCTCATGCCTGTAATCCCAGCACTTTGGGAAGCTGAGGCAGGTGGATCACCTGAGGTTGAGAGTTCAAGACCAGCCTGATCACCATGGAGAAACCCCGTCTCTACTAAAAATACAAAATTAGCCGGGCATGGTGGCAGGTGCCCATAATCCCAGTTACTCAGGAGGCTGAGGCAGGAGAATTGCTTGAACCGGGAGGTGGAGGTTGCGGTGAGCCGAGATTCGCCATTGCACTCCAGCCTGGGCAACAAGAGCGAAACTCCATCTCAAAAAACAAACAAACAAAAGACATTTAGAAGATGTATGGGACAATGTCCCCCTTCTCCAAATGGTTCAAATCAGAGCATTGCTTATATGAACACTGTAGGTTTTACAGGATTTAATACTCTTTTTTTTTTTTTTTGAGATGGAGTCTCACTCTGTCGCCCAGTCTGGAGTACAGTGGCACGATCTCAGCACACCGCAACCTCTGCCTCCTGGGTTCAAGCAATTCTCCTGCTTCAGCCTCCCAAGTAGCTGGGGACTACAGGAGCATGCCACCACGCCCGGCTAATTTTTGTATTTTTTGGTGGAGATGGGGTCTCACCATGTTGCCCAGGCTAGTCTCGAACTCCTGATCTCAAGTGCCCGCCTTGGCCTCCCAGAGTGCTGAGATTACAAGCGTGAGCCACCTTGCCCAGGCAGGAGTTAATACTTTCTAGAAATGTTAAGTCACTGAATTAGCAGAACCACAGAACTTAAGCCTGCTATTTCCCAGTCAAAGGTTTGCATTGAGTGTCTGGCTAGAAACCGAAAGGAATGGTTCAACTGGTCTTGAGAGGCCTACTCTAGGTCCTCAAGAAAGTGTCCTCAGTTGGGCCATCTAACCAAAGGGAATACTGCAGAAAGACCTGTTTCCAGAAAGTTCGAAATTCACGCACAGATTACATTAGAACTCTGATCCTGTCTACTAATATTTTAGGAAAAAGAGCTTACCAAGGGTTTGATTTTTAAGTTTCTAAGAAAATTAAGCAGGGAGGAGGGGTAAAGACAAAACCGTGTGTTTTGTGCCATTCCCCAATTCTTCCAAACGGAGGAAATCCTGGAAGCGGCTCATACTCACCACCCACAGCTCTGCATCTGGATCATTTACCTGGAACGTCAGAATACAGAAGTGTCAGCAGACATCCTGTGCTGTTCCATTCCTTTTTAATTCATTTGTTAAGTACTTTTTAAAATTAATGTGTTAAGTGCCAGACACTGCAATAGGCGTTGAGGATACAAAATCTGAACAGGATATAATCCAGCAGATGAGGGTGGGTGAAGGTATTTGTGACTGACACAACAGATGTTTTTCACAGGCATCCATACATTTTTGAAAAGCCTTCACAGGGGCTCTGGAGAGGACTCACCAAACCCAGAATGGGTATTTTAAGGGCCCTCCACCCTCACCCCCTACCAGTCTCAAGAAATGAGGGAAATTACTATGAAGGGGGTCCCAAAGCCGACTAGAAAGTTTAATGATGCTATAAAGGGTTTTGTTCTGCTTCATCTCCTAGGCCCTGAGATGTGTCCAGTGTCGTCCGCGGGCTGGACGTTAAGGCAGGGGCCAGGGCTGCGTCTGCTGAAGTCCCCCGGGAAGTTCCACGCAAGGAACCAGCCCCTTCCAGGGTATGAGCCCGGGTGTGGGACTCGCTTCCATGAACATATCCACGTCTCTTAGACGGGGGAGAAAGTGGGGGCTTCCTTAGCAGAAACCCCAAGTGCCGTCCTCCCCATGAACTGTGCGCCCCTGCGACTCTGCGGGCTAGTCAGTTACACGACCCGCCACGCCAGGGGGCGGAGCTGGGAGCCGGGCGGGTCCCCCTCCCACCGCGGCCGCCTGACCTGCACGAAGGCCGCCATTGCGAAGAAGGCGGCCATGAGCCCGTTGCAGGCCCGCCACAGGGAAGGCGCCATGGCTCGGGGAGCGCGGCGGCGCGGGGCGGCGACTCCTGCCTGGTACGGACCGGCTCCCTCCTTCCGCGGAGGGACCGAGACCCCGCCCCGGTTTCGGTCCCCTGGGGACACTGCCTTGGCAGTCGCTCGGCGCCGGGGGCGGGGAGGGAAGGGCGTGGCTGGAGCCAGTACTCGGCGTCCCATTCAGCCCGCCCCGAACGCCGCGGGGTGGAGGCGGCGCCGTCCCCGTTTCGCGGATGGGAAAGCGAGTCCCCCCCAGAGCGCAGGTCTCGGTGGTGGACAGAACTCGAATTTGAACCCAAGTAGGTTCAACTCCAAAGCCTGTTTTCACTAAAGCTACCTTCCTCATATTAAAAAAAAAAAAAAAAAAAAGAAGAAGGAATAAAGGAAGGCAGGCAGGCGGGAGGGAGGGGAGAGAGGTAGAAAGAGAAAGAAAGAAAGAAGGAAGGAAAGAAAGGGCCGGGCGCAGTGACCCACGCGAAAGAAAGAAAGGGTCGGGCGCAGTGGCTCACACCTGTAATCCCAGCACTGTGGGAGGCCGAGGTGGGCGGATCACCTGAGGTCAGGAGTTCGAGACCAGCCTGGCCAACATGGTGAAACCCCGTTTCTACTAAAAATACAAAAAAAATTAGTCGGGCGTGGTGGCGGGAGCCTGTAATCCCAGCTACTCAGGAGGCTGAGGCGGGAGAATTGCTTGAACCCGGGAGGCGGAGGTTGCAGTTAGCCCAGATTGTGTGCCACTGCACTCTAGCCTGGGCGACAGTGAGACTCCTCAAAAAAAAAAAAAGGTTTTTACAAAAATAAGAAAGAGAAAGAAAAAGAGGGGGGTGTGTGTGTGTGTGTGTGTGTGTGTGTGTTCTGTTTAGTATTTATGCATTTCCTTCCAAAGCTCAGGAACTTTCAAATCCCTGTAAGCGTTATGGTAATTTCTAGAGTGACGACAGTTATATTAACATCTTATACGGCTCACAGCTTTTCCGCAGACAAGCTCATTTATCTTCATGGGCTTTTATTATAAAAGATATTTACATATTATACATATTTACAATTCTCTCCCGCCACCAAAACCAACAACATTTCCAAAATTGCTCATGAATTTCTTATGAACCAAAGACACTGAAATATTCACTGTTCTCCCCTAGCCTGTCTTGTCTTTTTCTGTTTTGTAATTCGCCCTTCTGCTTAGTTCCTCCCCGGGCTCATTTACACATCCATAGGCCTCATTTCTGCTGTTTTAAAGAGTCTTTATCGCTTCAAATCAGGAGCTTCTGTGCCTGTCCGCCTTTCCTTTGAGCTAAATCTCCTCAAACTGTCTAGTTTTTTTTTTGTTTTTTTTTTTTCTTTCCCTCTGAATTTCATTCTTTTCACGAAACACTTATTTCAGGAATGTTGGCTGCTCTGTGCCTGGTGCTGGGACCATGAAGGTCAGGTGCTGGGACCAGGCAGGGAGCCTGGTGGCTGGCGGGGAGTGGGCACCCGTGTTTGCAGAGGTGGGGTGGGGACAGCGGGGACCAGCACTGGGTGGAGTACCACCACTAAATCAGCCCTGGGATTGGAAACAAACCAAGACTACTCTCACTGTCCTTTTCCTTACATAAAAGAAAAAAATGAAAGCTGCATTCCCCCTGCACCCCCAATTCGTATGCTAAAGGCCCTAACCCCCAATGCTTCAAAATGGGACTGTATTTGGAGACAGGGACTTGATAGAGATGATTAAGTTAAAATGAAGTTATTAGGGTGGGCCCTAATCCAATATAACTAGTGTCCTGATATGAAGAGGGGACAGTTACAGAGGGAAGACCACATGGGCACACAGGGAGAAAATGGCTGGCTGCAAGCCAAGGGGAGAGGCCTCATGAGAAACCAACCCTACCGACATCCTGAATTTGGACTTCCAGCTCCAGAACTGTAAGAAAATAAATTTCCGTTGTTTAAGCCACCTAGTCTATGGTACTTTTTTGGGGCAGTCCTAGCAAATTAATACAGGGAATGATTATAACATCCACAAGGAAACAATGGCATGGAAGTGCTTTTCAGCTCTTGAATGCCATACAACCACCATGAAGTTGTACAGTTTTCACTGTTGTCTGGGACTTTCTTTTTCTTTATTCTTTTTTTTTTTGTGAGACTAAGTCTTGCTCTGTTGCCCAGGCTGGAGTGCAGTGGCACGATCTCAGCTCACTGCAACCTCTGCCTCCCGGGTTCAAGTGATTCTTCTGCCTCAACCTCCAGAGTAGTTGGGACTACAGGTGCCCACCACCATGTAGGGCTAATTTTTTTTTTTTTTTTGTAGAGATGGGGTTTTACTGTATTGGCCAGGCTGGTCTTGAATTCCTGACCTCATGATGTGCGTGCCTTGGCCTCCCATAGTGCTGGGATTACAGGTGTGAGCCACTGCACCTGGCCAGGACTTTCAAAGTCACCTTAGTGAGCGTCTGTTGGTTTTGCCTTTGCAGGGTTCAGTCCCCTTTCTTCTAGGATCAGTGTCTTTAGTACCGTGGGTTACCACACGCACTATGGGTGGATGTGGACTACAGGGCTGACCATGCTCCCCTCCTTCTGGGGATAGGCAGGTGACTTTGGCCTGCCAGCTGACATATCCCCTTCTGCCGACCACTGTGATTGGGTCTAGAATGGATATAGGGTCCAAATTGCCCAGATTCAATACTAGGACCTGTATGGGACTTAGGGTTGTCAGTAAAGGACAACCTCAGTTGAACTGAATTTTGGATCATCAATGATGTGTTCCAAATATTTGCTAAATCTGGCAACCCTACTCAGACTATTAAAGAGAAGCTCTCTTTGTGATGAATGTGTAGAGCTGGTAGAATGTGAGCCTGGAGCTGTCGGGAGAAAGCCTCACAGGGAGAAAGGCCTTCCACGGGTAAAGTCACTGTAGAGGAAGTGGACCTGAGATAAAGGCCTGGATCCAGCCATGCCTGAAGCTGGAACAATCTGAAAACCAACAGAGTCTCTTCTTTACATAAGCCCGTGTGAACTGGGTTTTTGTAATTTGCAACAAAGAATGATGACTTGTAAAGTCACGATTCAATAGTTAAGGCAATGTGTGAAATCCTCTCAAACCTTCTGCTATAGGTTTGTCCGGCATTTGCAGAGACACGGAAGAGAAGGTTTAGTCTGAAAAGTAATGAAAAATACGTTTAAATGAGTCCAATACCTCAGACAGCTCTGCTTGAAGAGTAATTTCGTTTTCCTTTTTAACAAAAGGCTGTGATACAACACTGCAGAGAAGATGAAGTTTTAAAGGGAGTGGGGTCTTGTCAAAGCTGGCTTCCCTCTGCAGAAAGGGCCGCACAAAAGACCCTTCATCCTGCTGGACTCTCCCTGGCTGCCCAGTCAGTGACAGCATCATAAAAGCAACTGGAGCCACAGGAGTGAGGTGAGCTGGACTCACTTCCCTGCTGGAATCCGAGAATGGCTGGACATCTGTCCTCTGAGAACTTGGAAATAGAGATGCTTGCTTGTTCCCTGAGAGTAGGGTTATTAATCCAATGCTAAGAGATGGAGCAGAGAGAGGAAGCTCATATAAAGACACAAATGGCCTCCCAGGGTCACAGGATTGAGAGAGAGAAAATGAATGCATGAAAGTGTGTAAAAGAAGAATGTCAGCAAAGGAGGATTGATGGGCTCAGAGGCTCCAAGTTAGGTCACCTGGAAGGCAAGCAGAGACCAAGTCCATCCTCACGCAGACTGAAGAGAGTGCTTTGCTCCACCAGATGTGGACACTCACATTTCTTGGTCGGGCCAACCTCTTCGGGGCTGATGTGGGTTGAAAATTTCACAGACTCAACCCTCCCCTTGCTGTGATTCCAGAAGGTCAATTTTGGAGACTTTGGCTTCCTGCCTAGCTGGCCTACAGAGTGGAGAATATGTGGTTCTTCGAGCCAGGTGGATTTCAAAGTGTGTATCGATGGAATGCCCATGCCATTCTCTTTTATAGACTTGTTTTCCTTGTAGCAGTCTCCATTATCTATCCTTCGAGGTGTGGTCAGCTACTCTGGAATGTGGTGGGGTGGAGGCCGGACAAAGTCCGAAACAGGGTCATCACCAGTGAGTGGCTCCTGCCTTTGCTGGATGTCCAGAGTGTGCGTGTGCTGGTGATGCTCCCACGGTAACATACTGGGAGCAAGGATTACAAGGATCAGAAACCACTGCCTGTGCCATCTACCTTCCTCTGTCCAGCACACCAGACACTAGATCAGCAAAGGCCAGGCCATACTGTCTCCAGGCTCTGCTGATTCCATGTGAATGAAGTGAGGATGTGACTGTGACCTTGAGAGACACGGTGTTTGCCCTTGTAGAGCTTACAGACCAAACAATAATTACATGAATAGGTAAGGGTTCCGGCCAGCAATGGTGGTGATGCTACGAAGGAGAAGTGAGGCTGCTATGGGAATGTGCGAAACCAGAGAATCTGACCTCTTCCCAGGGGTTCCAGAGACCTCCTGAGGAGGTGATTTTCAGGTGTGCCCTGAAAGATGAATGGGTGAGGACAGGTGAAGACTTTATGGACCGGTGCGTAAGGCCAAGAGAGACGTGCTTATGAGAAGACCCCAAATCCTTAAGGTCTTCAGAGGTTGGCAGGGAATGAGAGTACAAGTAGACATAGATGAGGCTGGCACGGTGCAGCTAAGGAGTTTGATTTTATCCCAGCTGGGTGTGGTGGCTCATGCTTGTAATCCCAGCACTTTGGGAGGCCAAGGCGGGTGGATCATCTGAGGTCAGGAGTTCAAGACCAGCCTGACCAACATGGTGAAACCCCTTCTCTACTAAAAATACAAAATTAGCCAGGCATGGTGGCGCATGCCTGTAGTCCCAGCTACTCAGGAGACTGAGGCAGGAGAATCGCCTGAGCCTGAGAGGCGGAGGTTGCATTGAGCTGAGATCACACTATTGCACTCCAGCCTGGGCAACAGAGTGAAACTCCATCTCAAAAAAAAAAAAAAAGTTTGGTTTTACCCCAAGTGTGCTAAAGAGCCCCTGGAGCACTGAGCAGGGAGCGCATGATGGGAGGTGTGCTTGGGCTACCCCGTGGAGGAGGATGCACTGGGAGAGGCCAGAGAAGAAGCAGAGACTGGCCATGAGGTGCTTGCAGCAGGCCGGGAGAGAGAGAATGCTGGCCAGGGCTAACAGGGTAGCAGTGGCCATGGAGGAAAGAAGCACGAATGAGTGATGTTGGGGAGATAAAGTCAATCGGGCTGTATGCAGGGAACAAAAAAACACTTCCACTCCTCATTTGATGACAAAATTAAGTTTTCGAGGCTGGGCATGGTGGCTCACACCTGTAATCGCAGTGCTTTGGGAGGCCAAAGTGAGAGGATCACTTGAGCCCAGGAGTTCAAGACCTCCTGGGCAACAGAGCAAGACTCTATCTCTACAAACAATTTTTTAAAAATTAGCTGGGTGTGGTGGCATGTGCCT